CCTAACACTTGTTTCTTTGCACATCTAAATATTTCCTACGAAAATTTAAACATAATGGTACAATCAAATTATCTTGTTATAAACTAATGCATATATAAATATTAAGTTTTTTATGTTCTTTTGATAGAGTAAATGAATAAAATTATTTGGAAAAAACATCAAAGATCTAGTATTGGTTTTTCATTTAACTAGTTGAAGTTGAAGTATTGCACATATAATTGTTTTACTGGGGTACTTACAATCATCGGACCAAATTTATAATACCATTTCATGTTCATGAATATATGCTGTAATTTCGTAATTCGTAGGCCATCTTCGAAATTCTTAATGTTGGCATGCTTGAATCCGATGTAGCTGTCATTTTTATGTATTTGTCGGAATAGCAACTCGTGTCGGAGCGAAACAAATTTTTTTTTAAATATCAATAAAACAAAGTGATAAACGCAAAAATGTGTATGTAAGTTGAAGTGTGAATAGAAAAAAAAAGATTATTAAATGTGTACAAAACTATCATGATCGAAAGGCCGGACATTTCTCGAGGCTTAGTAAAAGGAGCTAAAAAGGATGTGGTGGAATTTGGGAAAGCGTTGCAAGAATTAAAGCGGCACAATAGTGTAATGGAGGCCCTTAAAAGGATCAGAACAATCTCGTAGCAATCTCCTTTGTATATTAATGCAACTGTTCTTCTTCCTGGGACAAAAGTGCACGGATCACTGAATTCTTTGTATTTTACTTAATTAAGGAAAATTCTTTTCAAGTAACGATTAAACTAATTTTATTTAATTTCGCTATTCACTTGCGATTATATTTATTTTGTTTCTGTCAAGGCAGCTGATTAGGAACTTCGAATTTCACGTTTTTAGCTGGCAGTGCCGCTGATAGTTACGATCGGATTACATCATACCAATTTTCGAATTTTCGGAACTTAGCTACGAATTCGTAACTATGAGCATTCGGATTACGGCATAGGGGTGATAAATAATGATAGAAAAATCGTACGTTCGCGACCGGTAAATAAAAAAAAACTAATAAATATTTCAACGCGCAATTAGTTAGGAGGAAGTTACTTCACTCCACTTTAATATAAATTAATCGCTTGAGAATATTCTGTTCCCTTTCACAGTTTCTTACATTTTTCAATTTGCAGCCAAAAGCGACTTCCATTCGTACGTTCGCGACCGCAATTTTATTGCTAACATATTAAAAAATAACAATCGAAAGATCATCCCTGTTGCACCAAAGATATACCTAGCAAAATGCTATCGAAACATAAACAAAAATTTATAAAGATTTATGTTTTCTTTGTTTTTTTTTGGACTTCAAAAGCGTATTATATACAAACTAAAGGTTTCACTCCCTGCAAATACGCATGCAATTCTGGAAAGCTTTCTGCTGGGGAGAAACTTCAGAGTCAGGCAGAATTGCTTTAGAACGAAAAGTCACCTAATATATGCAGGTGTCCCTCAAGACAGTGTTCTAGGTCCCATATTGTACGTAATATACGCTCGTGATTTGCCAACTGATGATAGTCTAACCATTTCAACGTTTGCTGATGACACAGCTATCCTAAGCAATAGTTCAGACCCTAAAGAGGCTTCTTACAAGCTTCAAGAATATTTGAAAAAATTAGAGCTATGGCTAGGTTCTTGGAGAATAAAGGTTAACGAAAGCAAGTGTGTTCAGACAACATTTACTTTGAAGAAAGAAACTTGCCCACCACTAAAGATAAACAGCAAGGCTATACCACAAAAAGATAGTGTCAAATACCTTGGGATGACACTAGATAGAAGACTTATCCACAAAGATCTTAATGTAAATACGGCGCATGAGGACAAGAGGGCTAAGCACCAGTTGCTCAGCACGGTTAATGAACCATCCAAATCGACTAGCGATAGATCTTCTTAGCCCGAGGTATGCAAGAAGACTAAAACGAAAGGAATTCTCCGATATTATCAAATGATGCGCAATATAATAAATTTCGATACTCGCAATATATCAGTTTCGGCTCTTGAACTCGTCCTTTCAGACAGACTACCCACCACCAGTGTCAGTGCGGCTCGGAAACTTGTCCTTTCCTACCGAACACAACCTACTGGATTTTAATTACTTAAATATAGAGAAGCGAAGGTGGGGCGTGGAAACTAGTCCTTTCTACCCGCCCAGGCAGTGCGGCTCTGGAAATCGTCCTTTCAGACCGCCTGCCCAGCACGATATCCAGCGATCCTGCAGCTCGGAATTTTGTCCATTCCGACAGCCGCAACAAATGTAATAAATATATGTGACACGTAAAGTTAAAAGGGACCTACGGTCAGAAAAAATCGGTTTTCACTTTTTCATCGACTCTTATAGTAAACGGGCCACTCTTTCCAATGCAATAAACCGCAGCTTCTAGCTGCATTAGTTTTTTCACAATTTCACTTCAAAGTTAGGTACTTTCACAAAAAAAAAAGTACAAAAAAAATCAAATCTGACAAACCATTCTGAAATTAATGAAATTCGCATGAAACCCGTTACTCGGGGGTTTTCGAACATCGGATCCGTAATCACTGACCTCGTTTTCGGTGTCAACGACATTTTTGAGTTTCACATGAATCCAAACAAATTTTAAATTTTTACCGCCCTATTGGATCCGCCATTTTGAATTTTTAAAAACGAACATCGGACTCGTAATCGGCGACACCAAAAACCCCCGGATAACGAGTTTCAAGCGATTCCGATCAACTTTTAAAAAAGTCATCCGCCATATTGGGCCGCCATTTTGAATTTTGGAAAACTAACAACGGATTCGTAATCAGCGACCCCGAAAACCCCGAGTAACGAGTTTCAATCCATTAAAACGTTCAGAAGCATCAAAATCAACTTGGTAAACTTCAAAGTCGGTTTTCTTGAAATCTTTTTTTCTGAGCGTAGGTCCCTTTTAACTTTACGTGTCACATATATGTATCTATGTATGAAAAAAATAAAAAAGTAAAAATTCTAAGCATTGCCGCAGAAATTTTAAATTTAAAGGTAGTTTGTAAGATTTGAAAACTTATTGTTAATTTCTAAAGAAATATTCAATAAATAAATACATATTATACAATATAAAATCATACGAACGTACGGTTCGCGGCCGTTGGAAATGGCAATATGCAACTAGTGTACCCGGTTGGTGTTAAAACGCCAAACGCCAAAATCATTAGTCAAGGCATTGCTGAGAATACCCACCCTATTCCCACACCAATTATAAAGCTCATTGCATTTCAATTGACTTAACTACTACCAGGGAACATAAATATGATGTGGTAGAGTATATTGTGTCCTACCTGCATTACTTTTATTATAATAATAATACTGAAATGCAATAAAATGATAGCCAGTTGTTATAATAATAATAATAGATATGAAAAATTCGGTTTGTATGGGAGGTGCCACACCCCTTTTTCCAATAGCCCCAATTTTTCTTCATGACTATGCGATTGGTNTGGCGCCTACACAATATTTGAGTGTTTGGCGGCCGAAGCTTCTCCTCCAATTTGTGACGTGTGCCTTGATGTTGTCACCAGTATTGCCACTTGACAATATTTTTAGGTACCAAAACGACTACCACATCAGTTTCCCAACTACCAAAATTTGTTTCATCATTAAAACGAAAATTCTTGAATTTACGAGGTTTTTAGCTACACGAATTAGCATAAAAATTAAAAATACACACAATATTGTTTATAGTATTGGTTAACCATTCATTGTATTGTATAAAAAACTTTTGTAAACAAGTAATTTTTAAGCAAAAAACAAAACCGACTTCAATTCTCAATATAAAAATTGAAGACTATCGTGAATCTCTTCATGGTCCACAGATCGGATTTAAACCAAATTAGAATGGGACCACCTGTGAGATAACACCCTTCCTTTAAAAAAAGAATTATAAAAATCGGTTAACGTGGTCCAAAGTTATACGGTAACATATATAAAAAATAAAAAATATAAAAAAAAAATAAATAAAAATATTCCGACGAATTGATAACCTTCCTCCTTTTTGTGAGGTCGGTTAAAATTTTAAATACCTTTGAGATTAGTTGTGTTTGTTTAAAAATTATCCAGTAACTTGCCAGCAACTCTCCAGTAACTTTATTTCTAAGAATTCGCTCTCATAGACAAAATTTACAAAAAAGTACGCGAACGCTATTCCAGTAATAATTTGCAAGTTTCATGAACAGCTGATAAATTTGTTGTTTATTCGCAGGAATTTCCTAAAAAACAATATATTTTATATTTAAATAGGTTTAGTTTGTGAATTTCAACAATAAAAACCCACAAACAGTTTCCTTAATAGTTTAAATTTCATCCAGCAACATGCGATCAGCTGTTTTCGTACTGGCAAATTCTTACAAGTAAAAATTTATCCAGTAAAATCCAGTAAAAACTTGCAACTTCAACTGTCATTTTCCGCTCTCTCAATTTCCCCTACTTTGCAAGTTTTTGCGTACGAAAACGCCAAAACATGAAAATTCGTAAAACTTTTATTGGAAATGAGTAAACAAACGCAATTATTAATTCAATTAATATCAAACGCTTTTTTTTGTATGTGAAAGAACAAACTCAAACATTCTATGCATTTCAATAAAATAATTTCCAAATTTGTTTCAATTTGCATATACTCACACTTTGCAGATTGCTTTGAGGTTTTTGTTTGCAGATAATTGGCTGCTTAATAAAATATAGAAAAATAAACAAAGAAATCTTATACGTGTGAGCAAAGTGAACAAATTTGAATGCTCAATTTGGTTGTATTTTCAAATCATTTTTTCCTACCAAAAGCTTCATCAAACCAACCAAACTACCAAAGGAGAATGAAGATACCAATTTTGGTCCAATTGGACCAAAACGGCAACGCTGGTTGTCACTCAAAGGGGAGGGACCTACAGTTTTACGCCCACTCCGAACGGCGATTGTATTTTTATGAAAAACTGTTTTTTATGGCACTATGTTTATTTTTTATTTTCCGAAACTTCTTGTAGCCAGAAAACCTTCTTTACTACAGCCCGGATGACGGTAGTAAAATTATGATAAGCGATTTTGGTTTGTCGAAAATGGAGGATTCAGGTATAATGGCTACAGCATGTGGTACTCCTGGTTACGTAGCTCCAGAAGTCTTGGCACAAAAACCGTATGGAAAAGCAGTCGATGTTTGGAGCATAGGAGTTATATCATATATATTACTCTGTGGCTATCCACCGTTTTATGATGAAAATGATGCCAACTTATTTGCCCAAATTTTAAAAGGTACTTAAAATACTTCAATTTATTATTTATATATTATCCACTATACTCTTTTCCGTTTATGTCAACTTTAAAATAAGTATTCTCACTCAGACGAACAGCTGATATCATTCATACCTAATATTTCTATCTTAATAACGATTTCGTTTATTTTCACAGGAGAGTTTGAGTTCGACTCACCGTACTGGGATGAAATAAGCGAGTCAGCAAAACATTTTATACAAAATTTAATGTGCGTAAATGTGGAAAAACGTTACACCTGCAAGCAAGCCTTAGCACACCCTTGGTGAGGAAGTGAATTCAATATTTATACTTATTTAAATATGCGTAGACATCACATAAAAACTTAAACTTTAAGCAATAACACGGTGCTACAAAAAAAAGTCAGGAAATACACCCGAAACAAAATCTAGTGTAGGTTGTAGGTATGGTCGAGTACAACATGAAAATGGGCCCCGTATAGTTCCTGAACCCTCCATTTTTTATACAAAAAACACCGTTATTTTCGTACTTATCTATTAATAGCTTGACTATTTTCTATCCGATTTTAAAAATCGGTTTTGAAAAGGGGATTTATAGACCTTTAAAACGATGTATAACAATACATATATTGTTAGACTTAGCTTGTTGGGAGTTTTCATCGGTTAAATTTTAATGAGCCTCTATTTTTCTTCATTTTTTCAACTTTGATTATCACTAATTTCAAAAATTTCTATAAAAGTTGTCAAATATGTGGAGGTATTTATCCAAAATAATATTTATTTTCGAATAAAATGATACCTCACTTAATGGAATTGCATGAAAATTGTCGAAGTTATGCAATTTAAGCCAAATTCCGGCCTTGAATTTATTTGTGTGTGACGAGCAGATTTTTTGCGCAGTGTGGCTAAGGAGATCATCAATATTTACTCTAAATTGATATATGTATACAATGGCTCTTAAGCAAAACATTTATTTTGCATAAAATTTTAGGAAAGTGGACGTGGCACCGCCCAATTATACCATATACGCGTATATCAAAAAGTACTTGACCGATCTCGATCAAATTTGATATATACATTTTGCTTGGCCTCTTTAAGGAGGGTGTTGAATATTTTTTAAATCGGACAAAAATTACTCCCCCTGAAATATACATATGTAGCTAGCCTTGATTTTTTTGAAATCACATAACGATTGGAGCACGTGTCCGCTTTAAAAAAAATTTAACATGGTGCTTAAGTACGCCACGTACAATGTGTATATCAAATTTGGTCGAGATCGATCGAGTAGTTTTTGAGATACGCATATATGATATAAGTGGGCGGTGCCTCGCCCACTTTCCTAAAATTTTATGAAAAATCCATTTTTTTCTTAAGAACCATTGTATATATCAATTTTGAGTAAATATTGATGAACTCCTTAGCCACAATGCTCAAAAAATTGCACGTGCCACAGAGGAGTATTTGCATAGTAAAACCGGACAAAATTATTTTATGTGTTTTTCTACTCAGTAATTAAATAAAACAGGAAACTTAATGATAATTAGGGATTCATAGGATAAAAATTACTAATTACCAGAGGCCGAAAATAACCGTCAACACTTTAAAAGTGTCCCAAAATAACCGTCACTATTTAAAGGAAAAAATAACCCACAAAACAGAACAGGCGGTTTATTTTTTGTAGATGTGTGCTCCTCTCAGTGGGAAAGGGTTATTTTGCATATAATTTCCGTTGCTGTTGGACACGGACACTTATCGCTGGAAGAAGAAAAATAAGTTTTAGAAGTACGTAGAAACATATCAAATTTGCTGTTGAAAGAGAATTAAGAAATTATTATTATGATTTAGTTTGTTGACCAAATAAAAAATTAAATTTATTTGTGATTTGATTTTTCAACCAAATAAGAAATACAAATTTTTGATTTGGATTGTAGAGCAAATCAATTTGATTTGTAATTTTTCAATTAAACAATAATTTTGTTATGCGACGCTAATAAGATATTTAAGTATCTTCCAACTTCCAGTTCCACGAAAATCTTGATTTGGGAGTAATTCGAGACTTTCGAGACTTTTTCGGAATCTTCGGGACTACTTCAAGATTTTCAGTCTATTTCGAGATTTTTGGACTATTTTGGGATTTTCGAGACTTCTTCAGGATTTTCGGAATCTTCGGGACCACTTCGGGATTTTTGGGCTATTTCGGGATTCTCGGGACTAATTCGGGATTTCCGATACTACTTTGAGATTTTCGGGATCCGCGGCACTAATTCGGAATTTTCGAGACTTCTTCAGAATTTTCGGAATCTTCGGGACTATTTCGGGATTTTTGGGCTATTTCGGGATTCTCAGACCTAATTCGGGATTTTCGTGACTACTTTGAGATTTTCGGGATCCGCGGCACTAATTCGGAATTTTCGAGACTTCTTCAGGATTTTCAGAATCTTCGGGACTACTTCGGGATTTTTGGGCTATTTCGGGATTCTCGGGACTAATTCGTAATTTTCGATAATACTTTGAGATTTTCGGGATCAGCGTCTCTAATTCGGAATTTTCGAGACTTCTTCAGGATTTTCGGGATCTTCGGACTACTTCGGGATTTTTGGGCTATTTCGGGATTCTCGAGACTACTTTAAAATTATCGATAACAAAATCGATTAAAATATCGAAAATAAAGTCGATACCCAAATCGATACTCAGATCGATAACAAAATCGATAAAAATATCTATAACAAAATCGAAACCCAAATCGATAACAATATCGATAACAATATAGATAACAAAATCGATAACAATACCGATAACAAAATCGATAAAATTATCGATAACGAAATCGATTAAAAAATCGATAACAAAATCGATCAAAATATCGAAAATAAAGTCGATACCCAAATCGATAACAATAACGATAACAAAGTCGATAACATTATCGATAACGAAATCGTTTTAAATATCGATAACAAACCCGATAAAAATATCGATAACAAAATCGATAAAAATACCGATCATTATATCGATAAGTCCCGAGAATACCGAAAATCCCGAAATAGTTCCCAAGTTGAGTCTGTGTGACTCTATATAATTTTCTTTATAATTACCTTTATTTTAATCTTTCCTCCTTTATTTTCATCTTTACTCATCCTCATCTTTTCTCCATATTTATCTTTATCATCTTTATGTTTATCAATTTCTACATTACATATTCCCCTTCACATTGGCCCTTATATTAGTTGAATTTTTAAATTTACCTTGGTCTTCATTTTTGAGAGAAACACTCTTTGCTTGAGAGACGAGTGCTTGTGTCAGTGGTAAACACCATATGGGACACTTGCTGACGGTTATTTTCGATCTCTGCTAATTACACTTATCTTAGGATCATTTTCGTGAAATATTTAGTTATATTCAGTTACCATAAGTCCACAAAAGCTTTTTAAGAAAAAGACAAGAACGGACTCCGTTTTTGTAAAACATATTTAGGTCGACGAGTTCGGATATGCACTTCGTCCTTTAAGACCGACTCTTGATTGTGAATAACTGCGAGTTGTGCATAAATTTTCGTTACTAAAGTTTTGATGCTTTTTATACCCGAGCGCACTTGTGCACAAGGGTATATTAACTTTGTTCACATAACGGTTGTTTGTAACAGCCAAAACGAATCGAGATAGATATAGACAAATGTATATACAAATGCTCAGAATGAATAGAGAAGTCAATTAAGCCATATCTGTATGTCCGTCCGTCCTTGTACACGATAACTCGAGTGAAAATTGAGATATCTGAACAAAATTCGGTATGTATGTAGGTTTCCCTTTATCCGAGGTAGGTTGGTACTGAAAAATCGGCGAAATCGGACTACAACCACGCCCACTTCCCATATAACGGTATTTTCGAAAAATGCAAAAACTACGATATTTCAGTAAATATTGGATCCAAACTGTTGAAAATTAGTGTGCGAAGCAGAATTTTAGTAAAAAAATAGTATTATCATGAAATTTTTGAAAAATGGGTGTGATGCCGCCCACTTATGATGAAATGCTGTATCTCAATAGCCACTTCACCGTTACGAGCCTTGCCTAGGGCCTAGCTAAGAAATCTGTTGAAAATCTTTGAAATCGAGCAATAACCACGCCCACCTCCCTTATAACGGTAATTTACAGAATAACGAAAACTGCGCTAAATCGGTAACTACTGAAGCTACTTGACTCAAAATCGATAATTACACTTAGCAGAAGATTATATTATTATACATTTTTGGACAATGGGCGTGGCGCCGCCCCCTTATGACCACAAATGTGTATCTCGGTAACCGATTCATCAATTTCTACCAAACTCGGTGCACTCAATAACCTTAGTACAAAAAAGAAATTCGTTGAAACTTATTCAAATCGCACTAAAATTACACCCACTTCCCGTATAACGGTAAATTTCAGACATCCGAAAACTCCGATATTTCAGTAACTGAGGACGCTAATTTACTCCAAGTTAATAGTTACAACAATCTCTTAACAATAAATAAGACTGCTATAGACTTTTGGAAATTGGGCGTGGCACCACCCACTTTATGACTACACTGACTTTGCAAACGTCAAGCTGTGAGGTTGTAATTATATTGTGCTCTGATTTTGGCTTTCTATTTGCTAAGTTTATTGTGCTAATTCTGAGTTAAAATAGCGATAAAAAGTGCTTATGAGCATCTTAGTGTGAAATAATTGAAGCTAAGTGAAAGTTATTGTGTTTTATATTAAACTAAATTTAATTAAATTTCACTACCATACATTCTAATCTTGCCGAGTCATTTGTTGCTATCATTGTTGTTGTATCCTTTGTAGTTAACTGAATTCATTTTCTCATTTTCGTTGTCGGTGTTTCCGACAGGGAAGGAGTGTGATGTAATGTGGAACGATTTTCCGTCATCCCTTGTCAAATTTGGTTTGAAGACAAACCTGTTTCGGCGTTGTGCCATCTTCAGTGTCATTTTTCGTGACACTGAAGATGGCACAACGCCGAAACCGGTTTGTATCCAAACCAAATTTGACAAGGGATGACGGAAAATCGTTCCACATTACATGAATTCATTTTGTTTTTGCACATTTGTTCTACTCTTTTTGTTTACTTCTTCTAGTAATTCTTGTCACAGCGTTTATTAAGTGTCATAACTACAGTGATACTCAAACTGTTCGCTTCATTTATTTAAAGCTATTTACATCGGCTCCTTAATTGTTATAATTTATTTTGTTTGTCTTTTTATTAACGAGTGTTATTACATAAATCTTTCAATATGAAGTGCGATCTTGATACTTGCCAAATTAAA